ATATTTTGTCTTGTGCTTTATGTAGTATACTAGTGAATGCCCAAAATAAACACATCCCTTCATGCCCAAAATAAACACATCCCTAAAAGAAAATTCAGATCGATACGGAACCAACCAAAATGGATGAATAATAGACTCTTAGATCTTCTAGGGAAAAAGAAAGGAGTATATAGAAAAGTTAAGAAAGGCGAAAATCACTTACTTGGTTACTATCAGAACCTAACAAGACAGGTAAAAACAGAAATTAGGAAAGCAAAGAGAAATTATGAAATCCAAGGTAGCAAACAGATCGAAAAATAACCCCAAAGCTTTTTATCAACTGTATAAATCAAAGGTTAGAGATACAATAGGTCCCCAAACTCGACAGGAGAAATGACTGATGATGAGTTAGAAATGTGTAGTACGTTAAATAGTCATTTTCGCTCGTATTCAAAATGAAAACCTAGCACAGTTCCAGAAGTTCATAAGGTATATAACGACAGTATAGAAAATATGTTGATGAATATCAATATTACTATAACGATGTGCAAAGTAATTAACAAACTGAAGCCTCATAAATCGCCTGGTCCAGACGAGGTATATGCTAGAATATTAAAAGAATGTAGAGATGAGTTGAGTAATCCATTAGCAGTTTTATTTAATAAGTCATTAGAATCGGCCTAGTGCCAGAAGGTGATAAATCAATTGCATCAAATTACCGTCCCATTAGTCTCACGTCAATCATAGGCAAGTTGCTAGAGTCAATTATTGCTACAAAAATCAGAAGCCACCTTGAAACATTCAACTTAATTCATTCTTCTCTCAGCGGGTTCACCCAGGGACGTTCTTGTCTCACAAATTTGCTTAGCTTTTTCTCAGAAGTATATGAAGCGGTAGATAATGATAAGTCATATGATATAATTTATTTAGATTTCAGTAAAGCATTCGATAGAGTCCCTCATGAGAGATTGATAAGGAAGGTAGAAGCACATGGAATAGGTGGATCAGTATTAAAATGGATTAGTTCATGGTTAACTGGTAGGAAACAAAGAGTCAGCATAAATGGATTAAAGTCAGACTGGGGTGCGGTCAAAAGCGGAGTTCCCCAGGGATCTGTATTAGGCCCTCTGCTGTTTGTTATATTCATTAATGATCTTGATTTAGACATAACTAGTAGGATTAGTAAATTTGCAGATGATACCAAAATGGGGAGAGTGATAAATTCAGACAGTGACTTTGAACACCTTCAAAGAGATCTAGATACCTTACATGAGTGGTCAGTAGACTGGCAAATGAATTTTAATACTGATAAATGCAAGGTACTACAGATAGGGAAGACGAATACAAACGTTAAGTATAAACTAGGTAACACGGAAATAGAAAACTCAGTTTGTGAAAAAAGATCAAGGTGTATTTGTTAGCAACGACTTGAAACCTAGAAAACAATGTATTAGCGTTCGCAACAAGGCAAACAGGATTCTTGGGTTCATATCTAGGTCTGTGAGTAACAGAACTGCTGACGTTATCTTGAAACTTTACCTAGCATTAGTGAGGCCACACATGGATTATGCGGTTCAGTTCTGGTGTCCTTATTATAGAATGGACATAGATTCTTTGGAGAGAGTACAAAGAAGAATGACAAAATGATCCATAATATTAGAAACCTTCCATATGAAGAAAGACTGAAAAGCTTAGGCTTACATTCATGAGAGGCGTAGAGTTAGGAGAGATATGATAGAGGTGTACAAGTGGGTAAGTGGGATTAAAGGGTAAAATGGAAGATGTTCTGAAGCTCAGTAATAACGAAATAACTAGAACAAATGGCTTTAAATTAGATAAATCTGATTCAGAAAGGATATAGGCAAGCACTGGTTGGTAATAGAGTTGTGGATATGTGGAATCGGCTACCGAGTGCTATAGTAGGATCGGGGACGCTAGGGAGCTTCAAGACGAAGTTGGATAGGCACATGGAAGTGCTGGGATGGGTGTGAAAGGGATCTGCCCTGTATGGGCCAGTCGGCCTCCTGCAGTATCCCACTTTCTTATGTTCTTATGAATATATTATAGTCATGAACAATTGTTGCGTCATCTATGACCTCACCCCTTCCAACTGGGGACTGACGTGACTGTTCCCAGGTGACCTCACCTAGGTACCTTCTTAACCCCCTGGTAATCCGCCAACCGAAAGTTTAGGACTCTGACCATATTGCCATTGTTTTTCGTTTCCCAATTTAGGGTGAACCTGATTTCTCTGTGATCACTGTTACCTAGTTCTTCCCCTACTGTGATATCTCTGATAATATTTTCTGTATTTGTTAATACTAGGTCTAATATATTGTCACCTCTAGTAGGTTCTGTAATTAGTTGTTTAAAAAAATTGTCCTGTATTGCGTCTAGGAAGTCTTCAGATTCATAATCACCTACAATGTTGTCCCAGTCAATATTTCTGAAGTTGAAATCCCCCATAATGCACAGGTTGTTATATTTTGCTGCCCTATTCATTTCCTGCCATATGGGCTGAGCTGCTTCTTTCCCAAGACTTGGGGGCCTGTAAATCACTCCCATAATTCGTTTTTCTCTTCCTTCTGTGATTTCTACCCACACAGACTTGGTTCCAATTTCACCCTTTATTGAATTTTTAATACAACATTTTAATGTATCCTTGACGAAGAGTGCGACCCCTCCCCCCTTCCTACCTTCCCTGTCCTTGTGAAAAAGGTTGTACCCTTCTATGTTGTACTCTGATAATGAGACTTCTTAACACCTGAAGATGTGAAAGACTCACGGTATACAATTTTAACTTGATCATTGTTAGTTAACCTTTCATATTTGTAAGTTACCAATTTATTAACTTATCGATACAACAGTCATCAAGTTTTGCTCACTTAATATTAATGATGTAAAATGTGATAAAATGTTGATACATTACAACATAACATTAATGACAGGTTTGACATGTAAAAAAAAAAGCTACCATCAATATGTAATTCCAAACTATGACCCAACATAATGTGGAAACTTGCCTGGTACCATTTCTCTATATATTAACAATAAAAAAGTATAGTAACCAAATATTGGTTTCCACAGTATTAGGCTCTTAATATTTGTTATTATAATAGCAGTTTGCTCTCACAGTGATTTGTGCATAAAGTCGCCAGTCTGGAATATTTCCAACTGTCGGGACACTCCCGGTAACTATACTAGGCGCTGTGTTGTTTACATCGTGCTGGAAGAAGCAAAAACTAAACTGAACCAGAGTATTCACAGGGTTCGCTCCAGCGGTTCATTCTGATGGCTGAGGACACAAACTTTTTATGGTGACTGCAGTTGGGTCCACTCCTTCGTTTACCGCATAGCGTTGTCGATCCTCTTTCTTCTTGAGGTGTGAACCCCGAAATCTGAAGTATGAATTCGAAGCATTGGATAGTGAGCGGGAGGGAGAGGGAGGGGTGTGTCGGGGTAGATTTGTAGATGTCGTTCAGTGGGAGGGAAACTGGGTACTGGGGGTGAGAGAAAGTGTACTGTATATCAATTGAGATAGATTACAGTGCAGAATAACGCTTTGATAATACCGACGGGGTTTCCTCAGCTGAGTAATCATCTAGCGCTAACCAGGTGAAAATACTAAAGTTACAATAGGATGAGAGGAGGATGAAGTCATGTTCTAGGTAAGGTGTTCCTTTTCAAAAAGAGGGAATTTTTGAGCAAATGAATTATGGTTATGTTTGAGTCAATATCGGGTGCCACTACCTGTATACCGTGCGGTCTACCTGGGATATCTACACTGCAGGCTGCAATTTAGTATTGTTATGTAGTATTATTTATTATATAGTAGAGTTTTATGATAATAAACAAAATAGTGATAAATAATTTTTTAATGACCATCATGTAAACAAAACATATAACGATGTTGAATAATAGCATAATATTAATGACAAACTTCGTAACATACAGAAAAAAAGGCACGGAGAGAACCTAACCTACGTGCAATGCCATCATATATATATTGTGTTGTCAATGTGTACAAGTCATGTGACTTTTTTCCTGTGACTTTATTTCCGTTCACCGGGATGGAGAGTGGACGGAGGGAGGAGGTCTAAGGGAGGAGGGAGATCAGAAGTCTTAAATTTTAGGAGAATGCTGAGGTTTGTCTTCGTTAATCCCCCTTTTATAAGGTTGGTTAGGGTCCTGGTGTTCAGGTAGTCAGGTCAGGTCAGGTCCGTAGACTACCCATATTGCAGTAGACCGCACGCCATAGAGGCACCCGATATCTTGTAGAAGCAGTGAAGTTTTGTCTAACCCCTTGGCTATATCGGACGCCCTGTAAATATCCACACCGCTAACA